GAGATTCAGGTGTGGGTGGTGGCTGAGTTTCTGCGCGGAAAAGAAATAATGCTTTACATCCTATCAATTATAGCTGGTAACTAAATCCGCAACTAACTGACAAGAGAAAGTTACCTTTAGGTACTTCACCAGGTTTGTTCGAAACTGGTAATTCTGCAGTATTACAGAATGAAAAATCTATAAGCCTCTTAACAGCTTACACCACAAAATATGAAACAAGATCATGATACAAATAACTGAAGAAAGAGGACAAGAGGAAGAATGGATCCAGCATTACTGATGTATCTGCACAGCATCATCTGAGAGAGACTTGTTTACGAGTCTGTACAGAGCAATGAGATTTCTTTTGTTAAGAGAGATGGAGTTTACCTTGAGATTGCGGCGGTGAAGGAAGTTCGCTTGAGACTTTGTTACCTGAACAGAAAAACATGACACAATCAACACTAGTAACTAAGAACTAGTTATTATGCCAGATTGAGTATGGAGAAGAAAAGTACCATTTTCTGAAGTTGGTGAAGGTTTTGGTTCAGGCTTCCCTATTGTCACGAATGCATAAGATAGAAATGTCAGAAAAGAAAAGAGAAATAGAAAGCCCTTACAACTGTGAACCAAACTATAAGCTTGATATTGAAATTCTTCGGGTGGAAGAATGCAACACTAAGCTTAGGAGGTATCAATCATGCATGTGCCTCTAATAGCTAAAGGTTTTGAATTCAAACCTGTCCTCTCTGAGTGAGATGGTTGACAACAAGTCAGGATCCACATAGGAAATACTCTTCCTGACATTAGAAAGGGATGGTTAGAAGTTAGAGCTCAATATTTGAAGTTGTTCAAGAAAAAACGGAGTGATATAATAAGTTTGGACTTAAAGCAGAAAATTTGATCTAGAAGAAGAAAAGAAAGCATTTCTTTGATTTCATCTATCTATACCAGTCTTATCCTCTTTAAGTTGAGCTGCTGAATCCATGGAGCCGGCTGATGTGTCAACTGATTGGCCTGCAATCCCATTGAACAATGATGATACAAAATGATGCTCAGTTCATCCATTATTATAGTATCTTATTGCACTTTTATCCGAATTTCCTAGTCTTTAGTCTTGATGTTTTGTCTTCCTGAAGGTATGGCTTCATTAATGTATAGTGTCAAGTGATATCATCAGGATACCATACCAATCTTCAGCTTACATTTCAGAAATGTAGATCGTATCTTTTTACCTTGATAAATTTCTATTTTCATCAAAAGCTTTTTTGAATCAACCCAAAAAGTATTTTATAAGTGAAGAGATTTCATGGGGAACTTGCATGCCTTAAAATTGGACTTGGGCATCAATTTGTTAAGACGACAAACAGCGTGATTTTGTAAGAAGGTAATAGTGATTGACTATTAGGCTACAACTCCAGGTTATGCTAGTATAGGGTACAGTAACAATCTCAAGAAAAATGAAAACAGTTTAGGGCAATGATCACCACCCACTTAATTTGCCAAGGAGTTTGAGACAAAGTTTACCTGGCTGCAGAGTAACAGTTGGCTTAGGCTTGAATCTCCAGCATAGAAATCCATCTCCTGTTAAGTTAAAGGCAGTGGTTAGAACTGAGTCAGTTTGACAGTGAGAACAAATGAATTTCTTAGTTTAAAGTTATGGGTTACAATAGTTACACGTCTGATGATGGTGGTCGGGTAGAGTTGACACTAGAATATGAACCCTACTTCACAAAAAGGCCAATGTGTACTTGGAACTTATAGGAGAAATATCACACTAATTGATGTCTCAACTTTAGTCCACAGTTAGCTTATTAATCCATTTAGTCATATAATTACTAGCTTTCAGCACAATGGCTCGAGACAGGAACTTCAATCAACAGAAATAGAAGCAGAACAAAAAAATGCTGCCAGAGGCATCAAAGTAGCTTTAAAAAAAATAGAGTATCTGTTGAGGAGAGTAAGAAAATTTACCTTTCGGAACAAAAATGCTGAAGCATGAAAAGCACGAAACAGCATCGATACTGTCACCAGCCTGTTCACCTGAAGGAAGTTTATTTTCTGGCTTTCCTTTGTCTGTATCAGGATCTATAGAAGGGGGAATTCGGCCAAGATTTTGCTCATCTTCGGAAATTTTATCGTATGTACGTTTCCTCCTTTTAAGAATGACTCTTTTGGTTATACATTCTCTACAATTAGGACAAATTAAGTCATGTGTTTCCTGCTTTCGTATCACCCTCTCAACTTCATATTCATTTATCTCTGGTTTAACTTCTTTAGAGTGACCTGTTTCAACAATTTCATTCTGATCACTTATAACTTGAGTTTTGTTCACCATGTTTTCACCATTATAAAATTCAGACGACTTGACATTGTCCCCATTTGAACTATCATCCAACACAAATCTAAGGCCAGCAGAAATTTCTGGGTTCTTAGAGACACTAGAAGTATTTGATTCGATATCAGTTTCCCTATCTCCTCCATTGCTCTCTGGGAGAGAGAATTCATCAACATGAACCCCGTTATGATGTACAGTGAATCCATTGGTGTCTGCAGACAAATATGCAATCAAAATCTTGTCAAAACAGAACCCTAATTCAAGATTTAGCCAATATTAAATATTAACAACACAATAATTCATCTAAACAACAAATTTCTTGAGATAATTATATTGGGTTTCTGTAATCTTCAACAGATTCTGATTTATATAACCTTTAAAAAAAATCCATTCAAGAAATAATATGAATCTACCAAATACTTTAAACTAATTACAAACATTTATCAACAAATTCACCAAAAAACGGAAAAATAAATTCAATACCCAATGCAAAGTATTGACGTTTGACAGTCCCCACAACTTCATTCACATAACCAATTGTCAAAATTCTTACTCTACAATTCTAGAGGTAAAAAGAAATTCATAAAAAGATTAAATTTTTGGAACTGGGTAATGCTGAAAAATTATAAATAAATCCAAAATTGAGCTAAATTTCCAAAATTCTGAAGTATTTTCCTCAGAACCCATAAAAAGATATTAAAAAAAATAAAGGTATATATATAAGTTGACTTGCAAAAAGTAATACAAGCAGGAAGAAAAAAGTGGGTCTACCTTCATTTTGAGCTACATTATGCTCATCAAAGTTGGCCAATTTCTCTTCACCAGCAGATCTACCCTCAATAATTTTGGGGTTTTCACCATTTGTAATTTTAGTAGTACCATCTTTATAATTACTAGTAATTTTATTAGTATTTTCCATACTTACATAATACTCAAAATTATTACTAGTGTCACTTAATTCACTAGTAATAATGTTGGTTTTGTTTGGATGGTGAGAGTTTGATGATCTTCTTCTTGTCTGTAAATCTACACCAATCACTTCTTCTGCTTCTCTCTCATATTGGACCTCCATTATCTATATTGTTTTGTTGTATCTTTCAAAGCTACTATTAGAACTATCATTACTGGGTCTCATTTATATCCAACATGTTAAATGCGTTTGTTTAGACTTATGAAAAGCGCAATAACAATGATGTAGTCGGGATTTGATCAAATTCATATTAAATAAAATTAATGATTAAGTCCGTATTTTAATCAACACGACTAAAAGAATATTAACTTAGATCTGTACTAGTGGAAATGGAGGAGTATTATATTGCATGTTTTGGTCATTATCATTAATGATAATTGTGTAGCTGGAATGATGTAGGTTTATTTAGGTGATGGGTTCGTTGACTAAACATTATTAAACTCTTTTAGTCAATGCGATTTTATAGATTTTGATTGAATAAAGTTTGATAATGTGAATGGATTTTTGGTTGATTTGATTTATGATATTTATCACATTCATGCCCCACATTAATACAAGGACAGGGTGGAACCTATACTGTACTCAAAAGTTGAGTTGTAAAGAGCATCTTTAAGTGCAAACATTTTAATAGTTCACAATGAGTGAACAAATAAGGTGATGGCTTAATGGCAAACTCTTTAATTGTTCATGTTGAGTGGTCATGGGTTGGATTGTAGGAGCAAGCACTTGCATGAATTAATTCGCTATGGGCCCCACCAATATTTTGGACTGATATTCATGCAAAACGACGTCGTTTTGCTGTTTCATGTTGCAAAACGACGTCGTTTTGCTGTTAAAGGTCAGAAAAAAAAATAGAAATCAGCGGCTGGGAGCGCGCCACTTGGCCCAGCCGCTGCTTGACACGTGTGTACTGTTTTAAATATATCCGTTGTAATTTTACAACGGATATATTTTACAAAATACAAATCAAAAAAAAAAAAAAAAAATTACCAACGACTCTATTTTTTTCCCCTCTATAAATAGACACCCATATTGATATACTTTTTTCAACTTTGAAAATTCATATTTTTCTACTATATTTTTCTCTTCAAAAATCCCCTCTATAATTACCAATATTATTATTATTTATACCAATATTAATATTATTATTGTTATTATTATTTTTAATTATTATCATTAATATTATTATTATCGTTACTATTATTTTTATTATTATCGTTATTATTATTATTATTATTATTATTATTATTATCGTTATTATTATTATTATTATTATCGTTATTATTATTATTATTATCGTTATTATTATTATTATTATCGTTATTATTATTATTATCGTTATTATTATTATTATCGTTATTATTATTATTATTATCGTTATTATTATTTTTATTATTATTGTTATTATTATTATTATTATTATTAAATTTTTATTTTTTCCAAATATAAATTATAATTATGGATGCTAATACCAACCCCAAAACAAATAGAAAGAAGAAAAAAAATTTGGGTCAAAATATGATCCCGAATCAAGCCAATTTTCCTCCAATTCACCCAAATTTTTCACAAACACCCACAAATATTCCCCATAATTTTTCTGGAGTTTATCCTCAAATACCCCAGTCAAGTTTCCCAAATAATCCACCAAATTTCCCTCAAAATTTTAATTTTTCTCAAAGCAGTTCAAATTTCCCACATCCATCCATGATACCAATGGGTTACGGTGAATATGGTGCTGCATCTGGTTATTTTCCGTCACAACAACCGAATCCCAATATTTGGGAATCGAGCAATGTCTTATCTGAAGAAGATGAGGCAAATAAAGAATGCGAGGATGATGGTGAGGGAAATGAAACTCCTTCTCCCCATCAAAACTTCACTCAAATGTTACAGCAACCACTCCAATCAACTTCGGAATTTCGTGTTAGTGGTTCAAACAATAGAGGTTGGTCGCGATCAGAAACTGCGGCTCTTATATCCGGCTACATGAACACCAGCACCGACATAATTACCGGCACAAATCAAAAGAAGGGTGTATTTTGGAAGAGAGTCTTGGACGCATATGATGCTGCCAGGGAATCGAATGCAGATGAAATATCCCTACGAACTATTAGTAGTTTGAAGGGAAGGTGGATGCGAATCTCTGAAGCCGTGTTAAAGTGGTGCGGAAGCTATGATAAGGCCCGGAAGCGAAAGGGAAGTGGCTATAACGAAATGATGTTATCCAAGAGGCCCACAAAATCCATGAGAACTCATTCGGACGATTCACCTTCTACGAGGAATGGATCCAAGTAAGGAAGTGGGACAAATTCCGGTCTTTCTTGGACCAACAAACATTCAAGCCTTCGGTGGGACGTCCACATTCAACTCCACTGACGGATGAGTCTGTAGGGAGCGGAAGTAGTGGGAAGAGGACACGGGATGAGGGTGACAATTCCTCACCTACCACACCAACCAGCGTGGGTGTCGGTGATGAGAGAGTAGCTCGTGCTGAAGGTATTAAAAAGGCTAAGTCGAGATTGAAGGGTAAAGCTCCATCAAGTCAAGCATTTAAGGAATTAGAAACATTCAACATCCGATTGCAGCTACTTGGGGATTCGATGAATGTGTCAAACGAAGCAGAAATGAAGAGACTTGAAATACAGGAGCGCAAGGAGGCAAGGAAACAACGGAAAATTGAGCTAGAGCAATATAGGATCAACTGGGAGCAACTATCTCGTCTAGAACAGAAAGTAAACCGAGAACAGTGGGAAGACGAAATGATAGTAATACTTCGGAACAATATTCAACGTTTCAATAATGATGCTTAGTGTCCTTTATTTTTATTGTAGTTAAGTGTGTTCAATTCCTTTGTTGTTCTTCATTTTCAGTAGTGATAAGTTTTCAATTCCAGTTCAACCTCTTGTACTCATTTCCTTATGTTTGTACTTTATCAATTAATCAGTAAAATGGATCTTTTCCACTTTCCCATTTTCATAGCCCATGTGATCTTATTCTGTTTATTCAATTATATCAATTTGTCTCTTTATATATAATTGTGTCAGTATCTTAATTTCCCCTTTGTTAGCCCATGTGAAACCCTTCTTCTCCATTCAATTTCTGTGTGGTTCTAATCCAGTGTTGGTCATAGCCCATGTGAAACCCTTCTTCTCCATTCAATTTCTGTGTGGTTGTAATTCATTGTTTGTCATAGCCCATGTGATCTTTGTCTCTTTATATTCAGTTATTTCTGAAGAAGAATTACAAATTAGTTCACTATAAATAAACACCATTCTTTCATTTTTTTTACACACAAACACATAAATCGTTTGCAGTTACTATTAGAAAACCTCACTCTATCTTACATTTCTTACGTACAAAATGAATTCAAACAGTTTAAACGAAAGCTCAACCGATTCCTCTTCATCTTCATCTAACTCGGATGATGAGGGAAGGGAGCTTAGAGTTCAACAACGTAATGAAGTGTGTCTTATGATACAACACGTAATGCATGAGTACATTCCACCAATTATTCAAGCTGCCACTCAGCAACGCCGACGCAAATCTACTGAGCCCCGAAAGGATAGGGGACGCGAAGAAGGTCATGCACGGTTATACAATGACTATTTCGCGGAAGTCCCAGTTTATCCAAGTTCCTTGTTCCGGCGCCGGTTTCGAATGCGTAAACATGTGTTTGAGCGCCTTCTCAACGCAGTGACCCAACATGACCCCTGGTTTCAACAAAGGTGAGATGCGGCAGGTCGTCTTGGTTTGTCTCCACTTCAAAAGTGCACTGCGGCCGTTAGACAACTATCTTACGGGTGTGCTTCAGACGCTTGTGATGAGTATGTCCGTATAAGTGAGGCATCTTCACGATTGGCACTCCAAAAGTTTACAGAAGGTGTCATCAACCTGTTCGGTGATCAGTACCTACGCCGTCCAAACATCGCAGATATGGAAAGATTGTTACGTATTGGGGAAGAACGTGGATTTCCTGGCATGATAGGCAGCATTGATTGTATGCACTGGGAGTGGAAGAACTGTCCACACGCATGGAAGGGGCAGTATCAAGGAAGAGAAGGAGTTGCAACTCTCGTACTGGAGGCAGTTGCGGACAGAGATCTATGGATATGGCATTCGTTCTTTGGGATGCCAGGTAGCTGCAACGATATTAATGTGCTTCATCGATCCCCTGTGTTCGAAGACGTCTTAGAGGGTCGAACACCTCCTGTGAACTTCGTAGTCAATGGTCATCATTATACGAATGGGTATTATCTTACTGATGGAATCTACCCTAGATGGGCTTCTTTTGTGAAATCCATTACGAGTCCACAAACTCGTCAGGATCGTTTATTCGCAAAACACCAGGAAGCTGCAAGGAAAGATGTTGAACGCGCATTTGGGGTCCTTCAAGCTCGTTTTGCCATTATTAAAAAGCCGTCTTTGGCGTGGGATACTGACATACTCCACAATATCATGCTCGCCTGCATCATAATACATAATATGATCGTTGAAGATGAACGAGAGACGTATCAAAATAACGTTAATACCAATGAGTTTATGAATGCTGGAGGCAACGCTAATGAGGACACTACTGAGTACCGTACTGATCGTATTGTGGATATCGGCTTATACTTGTCTCGTAGAACAGAGATTGAGGATCAACAGACTCATTTGCAGCTAAAAAACGACTTGGTCGAACATATATGGAATAAATTTGGTAACAAAGAAAACTTAGGCAACTAGGTTTACATCAAATGGTTATCCCTAAGGACATCTTACAAAACGATGTGTAGTTGTTTTTTTTTTTAAATAAAATGTACTAGATTATAGTTGTAGAACTGTAATCACGATTTGTACCTCTTTTTTTTTTTTTTGTTAATTAAAATTGCTGCGTTGTTGTTTAAAAAATATTAATCACAAGAATTAGTTTTTTAAAAAGCTGATAAAAAAATGCGATAATTTCTTAATTAGTAATCACGATTAAAATATTAAATACGTCAATTAATTACATTGACATCGGGTTAATAAATTATAATTATGAAACAAAAAAAATTATATTTACAAAAATACAATAAGGTGGGGTAGGGAGTATTGATGATGAACCATTGTTTAGTGTTCATTGTTAAGAGTGAATATTGTAAATGGTTTGTTGGGTTGATGTGGATGAGAGAGAAATGGTGATAGTGACCTGTTTCGGGGTTTTCTGATGTCCTGCGGGAGAGTTACAATTCCGAGACTGGAACCGGACGCCTGTACCTGCAAAACAACGGAGACTCCTGGTGGTGGGAGCTCCGCCTCCAACGGTCAAGTTAGTACTTGATTAAGGAGTAATTAATGCGGAAATTAAAGTGGTTGGGTCTCTCTAGGTGAGAGTGTTTAATGTGAGTTTTTAGCGTAATTAGCCTGTAACTCTGTGTGTAATCAATGTGTTTTTTCCGTAATCCCCCCTTAATGAGGATTAAGGGAGGTATTTATAACCTTGGGAAACGTGCCAATCCTAGGTTTAGGTTAACCTAGGGCTGATTGGGCTTCCCTCGGAAGTTGGGCCTGGGTGGCCGGTTTCTCCATTAGGCATGGAGTATGCCACGTGTCATGACATAATAGGTCCAAGGTGGACGAATAAGCGCGTGCCACGTGGCAAGCCCTGACAGTTCCAACTGGGGGACACTTGGCAGGACCTGATTGGCCCACGTGGCGCATTCCGATTGGTGGGAGCAAAATCCCCTAATCATGACCCATGAACCATTTTTTTGTGTTCACCAATAATGATGCAAGTAGGTTGTCTAAGTGTTTAATAGTTTGTGGTTCAAACATTGCACCGAGTTGCTAATTTTTAAACATTGTAATTATATATATATAATAATTATGATGTCTTTTTTTCTTTTATAATTGGATCTTGTAATTTGCAATTATATATATTTAATTTCATATTTATAACATAATTGATAATTAGTTTAGATGGTTGAATAACCATCCTTCTTATAAAAGGTTGGGTGTTCGTTATTCATAAGTTATTTTGGAAGAGAATTTACAACAAACTAAAAGATCATCTACAAGCTGGTCTGATACTGTGATAAAGATTTTTTTGATGCGCTGATATTTTCTAAATATTTTTTGGCAAATTTCACTTGGGTCTAAACTCTGAAGTGAGGAGTCATGATCTTCATGGATATCCCAAATTCTTCCTTTAACACAAAGGTTTTTTAATTTTTAATTTTTTAATTTTTTTTTTATTTTTGACACAAAGTTAAAACACTAAAACTTTTGTCTTTCGACAGTGTCGTACCTTGTACGAACTTAAAACGTGACACCATAATACTTTAACATTGTGTAACATGTCAAAGGAAAATTAAAAGGAATTGCACCACTTGTCTTTTAAGGAAATTTCACATTTATTGCACCATTTCTATTTTAAGAAACAAAATATCTCTATTTACACTACAAATTTTCAATATACCCTTACTTGTGCCACTTGATTCTTTAGTTTATGTTTACATCACATGAATAACTTTGTAATTTAACCCTCCTCTCTCTTCTTTTTTCCCACTACCAAAAAAATGTGTGCCAACCTCTATGGTGCAATAATAAAATAACGGAGGAAGTATAATGTGTAACAAAAAACATTTTTTATTTTCATAAGTAATAGGTACTCACGAATTTTTTATTTTCATAACGATTTTATATTTTTCCAACTATTTTTTTAAGTGAATTTATTTTGATGACCCGACCCAAACTTGACCCGACCCAAATTAACTCGATCCGAAATTAACCCAAAAATTGGTCCTCAAAATTAACTGGACCCGAACTTTACTTGAAGTGCTGACCCAAAATCCGAATTGACCCAACCCAATCCGAATTTTTACTGGCCCAAAATTGACCCAACCCGAACGAACTCTGTTTGTCAAGTCCAGTTATGTTTACTAATAGAAACACGAAGTAATAAAGTAAAATATACTTAAAGTTAATTTATGAACCAATCACCAATGTACAGTAAAAGGATCAAATAAGAGAATTATGAAAGTCAATAAGGAATTAAACTATTTATCTGCTCTTAAGATTGTTATAATTCCAACCCAATTTCATCTTAACATTAAAACAGTCCACAAATCGTGTGCTAGTAACTTTTCTTCTATATATTCAATGTTTTAGACTTATACTTCCTCTGATTTTTTTATAGTTACAATAGTTTGACTTTTACACTATTTATGTGTTTCACTTTGACTAGGTTTAATAATTTATATTTAAGCAAAAATATAGTTATGTGGGATTTTATTAGATTTGTCTCAATTTATACTATTTTAGTATCAAATGTTTATAATTTTGACATATTGGAAACCAAAGATATTAACAATTGAAATCATGGCAAGCGTGAAAAGAAAAGTATTGCAATTATAAAGAAACAGAGGAAGTAGTAGTTATGTCTTTTGTGGGTTATATTTTCTTTAAGAAACACATATAAAAAAAAAAAAAAAAAGACAAAATACAATAATTTATGACAAAATATTTTATTACAATTGCTCAATTCTATGTTATTAATACCTACATGTGAATGTAGGAAGTACAAGAAGATACGATATGATAAATTAATTCTCGAGACCTTAAAAAAATGACAATTTAATGGTCCATATAAAATGATTAATTCTACTCCATTTCATTTTTATAATCTCTTTCAAGATGATAAAGACATAACCATATAAGAGAGGAAATTATCATTTATGCCAGCCAGTTTTGACATGGACTTGCGCTAGCATCATCGTGCGTAATTCATTCATAGATCTTTAGCGATTCTAAATTCACATTACAAGGAAAGTCAACATTTAACAAATCTTGATTAGTCTTCAAGAGGTTTTTTTTGCTACATCTTAACTAGCACTCTTACGGTATCTAAAAGTTATTTTTGTTTTTACTTTTCTTATTTGACAATGGAAAGTAGTAAACTTAGCTTATTTGAAGTACAGAGTATATTGGATTGATGGAGATATAGATTTTGATATTTTTGTTGGTTTAAAACATGATTTTGATCTTGTCATTGGTATTGATTTGGAATCATCTAATTACGTCCTACTATATTAAGGATGTTTATATCAATGATCAATTTATAGGATTAGAGATAAGTTTTGCTCATCATACAAAAAAACTTACTAAGTGAAAAAAAAGATATAAATTCTTTGAAACTTAACATATCCAAACGATTTCTCACAAACAAGCTCGAATAATACGGAAAAATAATAGTGTCTTCGTTGTTTTGAAAAACTTAATTATCATTAAGAGTTTACATTAAAGTATATGTATCGACATTGCAATTATTAAAGAACAAAATTAATATTCGAGTTATTTTTTTTTTTTTTTTTTTTTGACATTTTTGCATTCCGTAAAATTTGGTAAGTGAAATTTGATATAAATGACAAAAACAAATGATACTACTTAGATTGGTACGAATTGAATTCATGATAAGTAAAGGAAATTTTCATTAATTCTTTAATATACATTATTAGAATAAAATTAATTTAAAATTGAACCTTAAAAATAGAAATTTGGACCAGATGGGCCATGGGTCGGGTATAAAATCAGACAAATCTACAATAGACTTATTTGCCACTCTGGTGAATTTAAGAAAAAATCGTGGATCACATGTTCCTCTTATCTCATCATTTTGTGAACTGATACTACCATGTAGACACTAACTTATGGCATCGTAATTAATTTGTTCATATGCATATCATATTTGACCTTCTAGGAATCAACTATTATCCATTGCAAATTAATGAAATCCGAGGTCGCATGTTGTAATAAGTGTCAGAGCCATGATTTAGAAGACGGAGTGTTGATATTATGCTCATGACGTGTATGTGAACACTCTATACAAGTATATTTGTAAATTGTAAGTGAAAGAAAAAAAATTATTTATATTTTGTATTTTTAGCGAGGTACCGACAATCCACGCGTCTTAATAGCTCCTTCAACACATGATTGACGATGTTGCAATATTAAAGGAACGGTAAAAGTATTATTGAGCAAAAATACGAAAATAACAATAAACCACCTTTGAAGTACTTGTATAAAATTTATATATTATGTAGTGTAATAAAAAATTGAGTTTGATTTATCAACAAATTGATCTACACTATTTAATTTTAAAACTACAAGAAGAATCAATAAGCGTGAAAATCATTTGACAAAAAGGTTTAGCATTATAAGATCACTTTCGTGAGTTATTGCAAGCATGTGTATCCTTTCCAATTTCTCTCGCCTCTTGGCACAACCCATCTACAAGTTGGTCTTATAATAGTAAGACGGTCTTATTTATAAATTTTTACTTTCGTGATATTACAGGTCAATAATTTAATCATTGGACTTTAATACCATTGGTAGTACTCTTAGGGTGACGAAGGGTTCCAAATAACCAATCCATTAAAATAGTATAATTACCATAATTATGATGGCCCGACGTATGGTGAATGGTATGATAATTAGAACCCATAATAGGCCAACCTTTCGCGTCGCTTCTGTCATGTATTATAATACCCCATACTGCTTCGACAAGAAAAAGCGCCAATAAAGTAGTGAAATGAATAGGCATAAACATTAGTATTAAACCATAAGGAGTTTCTTGTATTGCTCCATCCAACGGGTGACCAGACCAACCTGATACATGTGAATCACATTATTATTATTATTATTATTATTATTATTATTATTATTATTATTATTATTATTATTATTATTATTATTATTATTATTATTATTATTATTATTATTATTATTATTATTATTATTATTATTATTATTATTATTATTATTATTATTATTATTATTATTATTATTATTATTATTATTATTATTATTATTATTATTATTATTATTATTATTATTATTATTATTATTATTATTATTATTATTATTATTATTATTATTATTATTATTATTATTATTATTATTATTATTATTATAACCGTATTTGAATGGATGGAAGTACTTATGCAGTTGGAAGTAATTTGAAGTAAATAACCTACCTGCAAAAGGAGAAAGCGCGATTTCCTTGCTATAACGATGATGAGGTGCATGAATATACTTGTAAATTGGCTTGATCTCATGTAATAATCTATGAGCCCAATAAATCCCAAATTCCACAGCAAAAAGATATGTAAGTGTATGTAACACATAAGATTGCCAGCCCACATCACTAATCCGAGGGTAACATCTTGACCAACCATTTTCAATCATCCACTCAAACATCGTCGAAAACAATGTGTTAACTGGAATCGATATTAGAGCTCCAATTGCTTGTGATATCATAGCTCTTTTTGAAGGCATCGTTTCTACAAAACCATCCAAAAAAGTTAATATTTACAGTAAAGTTATGTACGGATTATGTGTAGCATGTCACATGTTTAGTCTATCAGAATCACCACTTTATAAAGCTGAAATATACATAATTTAAAATGAATACACATAATTGAATTCAAAGAAACATATAATTGAATACACATAAATAAAATATACATGTTTCTACAATACACTCGTTACCTATAAGTTTTGTTGATAAGTATATTAGGTGACTCGTACTTCGTAGCTTTGTCCGCCCGATCGGGCGGACATTGCCCGGTCTGACCGGGCGGAAGAAGAAGAGGTGCCTGGCAAATTCGTTGAAGAAGCTGCTCTCGCGCCCGACCGGGCGAGCCTTCGCCCGACCGGGCGAGCCTTCGCCCGATCGGGCAGACCTTGCCCGGTCTGACCGGGCGGTGGGGGTTGGATACGTTGAAGCATTCGTATGGAGTTTTCTTCTCGCGCCCGATCGGGCAGACCTTGCCCGGTCTGACCGGGCGGAGAAGGAAAAATACGGAACGCGGATTTTGCGGTTTTAGGTTATCTTATTTTATTATCTTTTTGCCCAAGTATCTTTTAATTAGGGATTAATATAAAACCTCCCTAATATCAGTATTAGGGTTAAGAGAGAGAGAGTGAGAGCCGTTCTTGAGAAATACAAGAATCATCTTTGTAATCTTTGCAGTTTATAGTGAAATCATTCGATCTCGGTGCCCGTGGACGTAGCTATCACATCGATAGTGAACCACGTAAATTCTTGGTGTTGTTCTTATTGTTTGCATTGAATTTCTTTATTGTTTTCTTGTTTGTTTACGACCTTTGCTTCCGCTGTCGCACAACAATTGGTATCAGAGCTCAGGTTCAATCCTTGGATAGTTTCTTGAAGATAACAATGGCAGGAGATTCAACAATAAGAATTGAGAAGTTTACCGGGAAAAATAGTTTCGGGCTATGGCAAATTAAGATGAAGGCTCTGTTAAAACAACAGCAGATATGGCGTCCGTTGGCTCCAAAGAGTACTACTTCGGAGTCAGGAGACGGACCGACTGACTCGCAGTTAGAAGTTATGGAAGAGAAGGCACACTCTACCATATTACTTAGTCTTGATGATCAAATCATCACGGAGGTGGCTGATCAGGAAACGGCGGCTGGATTGTGGCTGAAGCTGGAGTCATTGTATATGACTAAGTCGTTGACCAACAAATTATTACTGAAACAGCGGTTGTTTAGCCTCCGGATGCAGTCAGGTACTTCCTTACGGGAACATCTAGAAAAACTTAACTCTATTTTGCTTGATTTACGTAATTTAGATGTTAAAATTGATGATGAGGATGCTGCGTTGATTTTACTTGTATCTCTACCGTCTAGCTTTGAGAATTTTGTAGAGTCTTTTGTTGTTGGTAAGGATTCTATAACCTTAGAAGAAGTGAAGGCAGCACTTCATACTAGGGAACTCAGAATGAAAGCTACGAGTGATAATGGGGATAATGGTAGTGGGTTATTTGTTAAGTCCGGAAAGTCTAAAAAGAATAAGGGGTTTAACAAGGGGAACAATGCTGGGTCGGGTGCTGGAAACGGCAAGGATGGATCTAGTAAAACTACTACTAAAACATGTTATTACTGTAAAGAACCGGGTCACTTTAGGAATAATTGTCCGGTGAGGAAAAACAAGTCCCAGGCTGCTGTAGTTGAAGAGAAACCGAATGAGAGCTATAATTCAGAGGAAGATTTAGCATTAGTCAGTTCTGCTAGGTCTGATGATTTATCTGATAACTGGGTTCTAGATTCGGGGTGTTCGTTCCATATGTGTCCACGTCGAGATTGGTTTGATACATATGAACCTCGCAATGGGGGTATGGTTATAGTCGGTAACAATGCTCCATGTAAGGTCACAGGTATTGGTTCCATGAGGTTGAGGACTGTTGATGGGCGGAGGTTAACTTTGACTAATGTACGGCATGTTCCTGCTTTAGGAAAGAATCTGATTTCATTGGGTACCCTGGATGACTTGGGGTACAATGGTGTGTTTTCAGATGGGGAGTTGTGTATTTTCAGAGGTTCTGAGTTGGTACTTAAGGGTATCAAAAGGAACACCCTCTATGTTTTTGAGGGTGTTACACTGCCTAGTTCTGCGGTTTGCGCATCTGTATCTCACCAGGAGATGACTAAGATTTGGCACATGAGGCTTGGTCATATGGGGGAGAAGGGGATGCAGCTATTGTCCAAGAGGGGTCTTCTATCCGGGGTCAAGGTTGCCAACCTTGAATTTTGTGAGCATTGTGTGTTTGGTAAGAAACACAGGTCAAAGTTCAGCAAGGGTGCTCACATTACTGATGCAGTGCTCGATTACATCCATTCAGATTGCTGGGGTCCATCTAGAGTTGAAGGTATGGGAGGTTACCACTATTTTGTGTCATTTGTTGATGACAAGTCCCGATACACATGGCTTAGGTTGCTTAAGTCAAAGGATGAGGCCTTCAAAGTTTTCAAGCAATGGAAAGCTTTGGTGGAAAATCGACAAGGAAGGAAGATCAAGAAGCTACGAACGGACAATGGGCTAGAGTTTTGCAAAGACGAGTTTAATCAGTTCTGTGCAGATGAGGGTATAGGTCGGCATCATACTGTCAGGAAGACACCACAGCAGAACGGTGTAGCAGAACGGGTTAATCAGACACTGCTAGAGAGAGTTCGATGCATGCTCTCTAATGCAGGGCTTGGGAGGAGGTACTGGAGTGAAGCTGTGTTAACAGCTTGTTATGTCATTAATAGGGGTCCTCATTCTGGAATTGATTCCAAAATTCCGTTTGAGATCTGGAGTGGTAAGTTGCCTAATTTTTCGAATTTGAAGATTTTTGGTTGTGTTGCTTATTATCATGTTATTGAGGGTAAGCTGGATCCACGAGCCAAGAAGGGGTGTTTTGTTGGGTACGGGGATGGTGTGAAGGGGTTTAGAATTTTTTCACCTTCGGAGGGTCGGGTCATTCTTAGTAGGGATGTTACTTTCGATGAAAACACCATGTATTCAATTAAAAATGCAGAGATTTCAGATTTGAGAAGGGAAGGAGACAATTTATTACAGACAGATGGGGTACTTGAGGTACATCAGTCTACCATTGCTGATTTACCTCGGGTACAATATATTGATGATGATGCTGATGTTCCAGTGCCGGGTACTCCTGAACCTGAGATTACTCCTACTCATTCTAACTCTGGGGATGAGGTGGAGCAATCTAATCAGGGGTCATCTAGTCAACCTGACACCATTCTTGAGATGCCTAAACGAGTTATCAAGAAGCCTGTTAGATTGATTGAAGAGATGGAGGGAAGAAATTACTGTGTTGATGCGATGACAGGTTATGCATTGAGTGTAGCTGATGATGTAGAGTCATTTGAACCTGCCACATATAAACAAGCAATTAGTTGTAGTGAGTCTGCGCAATGGCTTGCCGCAATGGGTGAAGAGATGCAGTCTCTTTACAAGAACAGAGTGTGGGAACTGGTAAAGGTACCGGAAGGGAGGAAGCTTGTGGGTTGTAAATGGATTTACAAGAAGAAAGAAGGGTTGTCGGAAACTGAGCAAATACGTTTTAAGGCTAGGCTAGTTGCTAAGGGGTTCAGTCAGGTAGAAGGGGTTGATTTTGTTGAGATATTCTCACCTGTGGTTCGACATACTTCTATCCGTGTGTTATTGTCAATTGTAGCACATTTTGATCTTGAGCTGGAGCAGTTGGATGTTAAAACGGCTTTCCTTCATGGCGATTTGGAGGAGGAGATTCTGATGAAGCAGCCCGAAGGATTCGAAGTTCCTGGAAAGGAACACTATGCCTGCAGATTGCTAAAGTCATTGTATGGACTTAAGCAATCCCCCCGACAGTGGTACAAAAGGTTTGATTCTTTTATGGTTTCACAAGGTTTTGACAGGAATTCATATGATTGCTGTGTGTATCATAGTAAGCTGGATAATGGTTCCATGATTTATCTTTTGTTATATGTTGATGACATGTTGGTTGCCACAAAGAATAAATCTGATATTGCTAGATTAAAGGAGATGCTTAACTCGGAGTTTGACATGAAAGACTTGGGTGCAGCTAGGAAGATTTTGGGTATGGAGATCTACAGGGATCGGGCTAGAGGTAAGCTTTTCTTGACTCAGAAAAGCTACATTGAAAAGATTCTGTCTCGTTTTGGGATGGAAAAATCGAAGCCTATAAGTACGCCAACTACTGTTAGTTGTAAGTTGTTTTTGTCTATGTCACCTCAATCAGAGGAGGAGTTGTCTTATATGTCTAGAGTTCCATATGCAAACGCGGTTGGTTGTTTGATGTATGCTATGGTCTGTACTAGGCCGGATATTGCGCATGCTGTTAGTGTTGTAAGCAGGTTTATGGCTCAACCTAGGAGGGAACACTGGCAAGGGGTGAAAAGGATTTTTCGCTACCTGAGAGGGACAACTGATATTGGTCTTGTGTACGGGAATGGTAGGGAATGCTTGGTCACTGGGTACAGTGATTCTGATTATGCAGCTGATGTGGATACCAGGAGGTCTGTGACTGGTTATGTGTTCACTTTGGGTGGTTCTGTGGTTAGTTGGAAGTCTACATTGCAGTCATCAGTTACGTTGTCAACTACTGAAGCTGAGTATATGGCTTTAACTTCTGCGGCTAAGGAGTCTATTTGGCTCAAAGGCCTAGTAGGTGAACTGGGTATTGCACAGGATTTTGCTACTGTGTATTGTGATAGTCTAAGTGCGATTTGCTTAGCTAAAGATCAAGTACACCATGATCGGACGAAGCACATTGATGTCAGGTATCATTTCTTGCGTACTGACAAGAGGATTAAGGTGAAGAAGATTGGGACTGCTGACAACCCGGCTGATTTCTTCACTAAGCCTGTTCCGTTTAGCAAGTTTAAACATTGCTTAGACTTGCTAAATATTGATTACTACGTGATGTAGTAGGCCCTGAGGGGCGAAGTTGGGGAGCTCCTGGTGTAGGTGTGTTGGCATTAAGGTGGAGCTTGCCCGGGGCTTGTGATGCAGGTGGAGCATTATGAGTTGTTATACTTGGAGACGAGTATGTGATGGGTCTTGGTTGAAGACTTATCGGGATGTATGGCTTATGCATGAGTCCTGCATCGGGTTTGGCTTGAGATGTTTTTTCACTATGTCTTGATGGGGTCGTTTGCTGACTACGAGTTCTCGTCAAGGTGGAGATTGTTGATAAGTATATTAGGTGACTCGTACTTCGTAGCTTTGTCCGCCCGATCGGGCGGACATTGCCCGGTCTGACCGGGCGGAAGAAGAAGAGGTGCCTGGCAAATTCGTTGAAGAAGCTGCTCTCGCGCCCGACCGGGCGAGCCTTCGCCCGACCGGGCGAGCCTTCGCCCGACCGGGCGAGCCTTCGCCCGATCGGGCAGACCTTGCCCGGTCTGACCGGGCGGTGGGGGTTGGATACGTTGAAGCATTCGTATGGAGTTTTCTTCTCGCGCCCGATCGGGCAGACCTTGCCCGGTCTGACCGGGCGGAGAAGGAAAAATACGGAACGCGGATTTTGCGGTTTTAGGTTATCTTATTTTATTATCTTTTGCCCAAGTATCTTTTAATTAGGGATTAATATAAAACCTCCCTAATATCAGTATTAGGGTTAAGAGAGAGAGAGTGAGAGCCGTTCTTGAGAAATACAAGAATCATCTTTGTAATCTTTGCAGTTTATAGTGAAATCATTCGATCTCGGTGCCCGTGGACGTAGCTATCACATCGATAGTGAACCACGTAAATTCTTGGTGTTGTTCTTATTGTTTGCATTGAATTTCTTTATTGTTTTCTTGTTTGTTTACGACCTTTGCTTCCGCTGTCGCACAACAAGTTTTTTACATTTAGAAAGTCCCTAGTTTAATTTGCAGCCTTGTAGAAATACCTTTAGAGGAAGAAACATAGCGTTTCCAAAAGTCGAGGCAGAAAAATGCAGCTATTGGATAGATCACAAATGCACAAAGTGTTGTTCGAAGCCAAGAGCTCAGAAAATGTGGTAATAAAGAAAAAAGTTTCTTAGGTAACACTATCTCATTATAAAAACTTGTCTTCTCTAAGAACATCTTCATATATTCCTCCATGTTTTTTTTGCTTGTTTTCATGGACTAGCATAGGGGTATATATACTCTTTTTTTTTTTTTCATCTATTTCTTTTTTGGTGCATAGGTTGAGTAACGTATTTAAGTAGCTAGTCTTGATCATCATACAAAAATATTACGATGTTTTGGTGTATGTATTTCAAATCGAAGACATTAATTAGTATGATTTACAAGACAAGGGATTGTTTAATGCGGCACTCTACTTGTAACTTACAAGATGAACCAAATTTTATAATTTAAATAAACACAAGCAATAAAAGTTGTAAAGTTTAAAGTTGAATTTTTATACTACATTCGTTTTACATTATGCGCAACAATTGAATTTCTTACGTGCCATAAAAAATATCAAATTGTTGCACTTGCATATAATGTTAAATGGTTTGAGGTAGTATTTAATATATAGTATCTGTTTTGGATTAATCGATATACTCACTTAAACACATAGATTAAGAAAATAATGTTGGGTAGGGATCATAAAGTGATTTTTTTTTTTTTTTTGGGTGCAATTAAAGTGACTTGTTTAATGTAAAGTAAAGTACGTAGTAATTAATTTTATTTTATATTGTGAGAAAAAAGAACAGGTGTTTGTAGGGAAAGTAAGTGGGTTATTTGCCGGTGTGATACTCCTATCAGCCTGCCTACTTTTAAAAAAGATTATATGTATAACTTATACTAACAAGGTTGGGATGAATAACCTCTAAAGAAGTTTCTCGGTGCTGTGTATGAGTGAGCACAAAATGTTTTTAACGTGATGAGCTTTTGGTGCATGTCCGAGGTCAATCACACGGCAGAGGAGGATCTTGTGTATCCTTTGTGCTTGAGGTGTTACAACCAGAATAGGCGAAATAAAACATTCTAATGAGGAGGTGTCTTTTTTATTCTAAAATGATCAAAAGACGGAAGTACGTTTGTTGTGAAACAGTATACTATCAAACTTTAAGCCGCGTAGACCTTAAAAGTAGGAATTTTGACTTTGATATTGTACACATATTTTCCAAGTCATGTTTCTTCTTTATGTTTTCTTTCTTAAATGAACTTTGGTTATCAAAGAAAATAAATCTTCAAACATAACTAGACAATATGATGTATTTGTTTAATTTGTATTCATATGAAGAATAAGCTATGAAAGAAAACTTCTTGTATAAACTTGTTTCCACAATTCTTGATTTCTTGCTGCCTGTTTTCATGGAATAGCATGGCGGTATATATTCTTTTGTTGCCAGCACATATTTTGACCATGCTCATTAGACAAATCTTGAATAAAGTGTTGGAATGAACAACTGATTAATCTATTCGTTGACTACTCATGAATTATCTCAGTGAATAACTTCATATGACTTGTTCTTCCTAACACAAATATTATCAAAAAATAATACTTGACAAATAAATGTAAATAGCGTAAATTTAAAATGATTAATCTTATACACCGGTAGAATATCAATTCAAGTTGTGTTATCATATGCTTTTCAAACATTTGGTTGTATCACTGTCACGATATAACAAATCATAGCATGCAAAGACTTTGACAATGATCCAACCTTCAAAAGATTAGGTTAGAGCACATTACAACTAGGTAAAAAAAAAAAAAAAAAAACCATTTCAACCCTAGGGTTGATTGAGGCCTTGGCCTGTTTAAATTTTTATGACTACTTTAATTAACTTAATCAACCTTATTATACTTTTTAAATATTGTGGAATAGTGGTTAGTTTTGAGGGTGGGGTTCGAGGTTCAAATCTTGGTCCCCCTTAGCCAAGATACATATGTAGTAATTTACTCACCTACGATGAGCACAGGCTTTGTGGGTCTATCTTCGAGGTAGATTTTTTCCCCTAATCCAAGATGTGTCATCAATAACCAAACCACAGAAATAAGCTCTCCGCCTTTACTTACCTGCTGAACATGGTTGGTTGGCCTACACTGGGAAGCAGCATGGCAAAGCAATTCCACCCAAAATCGGGCAGTGTCATTAGCTTCTTTGCCAATCGACATGCCTCGAACAACACCGACTTACTCTTCCCCTTCACATCCCTTGATTTGACATTATCAACTACCGGTATTCTCATGATGCTTCGGCACAAGAAGTCCAGTGGGGGGGGGGGGGGGGGGGGTGGGGGGGGGGGGGAGAGGCTACTGAGCTCGTTCTGACCTTTCATGTATGGGAGAATGCCCTGAATGTACCTTAACGCCTCAGCCTCTGTGTCTCAAAGCCTGAGGTCACTAATCCCTGCCACATTGGACATCATCATCGGCTTCATTACCAGCAGATACACCATGTAATCTGAAAGTACCTTGCTCATGACACGGTCTGCACTGTACCGAAACCTGTCCATATTGTAGCAGATCTGAGTAGCTATATGCCATAAGAGCAAACTTTCACCATAATCAGCCTCCTTAATCCAATTGTTGAGTTCCAACACCTCTTTGCTATAGACTGACTGTTGAATTGACTACCTTATATTTTGATGATTGACTTATGTAAAACAAACTCCGACTAATGGTGTTTAAAGAGTCTTGGTTAAGCAGAAGATTCAGGTTTGAAGTAATATGTTCCGGAGTAGGAACAACAAAGTTTGGAAGACTTGATGATGAATGCAAGCTTTCAAGATGTCCTCACAACTCTATATACTTAGTTACTCAGTGTACGAACTTAAGAAACAAAAGTGTTGGAAGGAACTAAGAAGAAACTCGAAGTTCCTGAAGGAACTTGATGATTGACTCAGAAAGTTTTAAACGAAAATTTTAAAACGGTTTTCAAAACCCTTAATTTAAGGAAGTGATAAAATCAGTTTTGAAAAATATTTATTTTATAAATAAATAAAATCAAAATAATTCGTTAATTTAAATGATAAGTTTTAAATTAATTAATTATTTAGTTATCTTTTTTTAATAATAAATAATTATCTTTTTAATAAATCTTTAACTGATTTTTGACTTAGTAAAAATAACTGTTTACTTAAATTAAGGAAGCACGTTGATTTAGGAGTCAAGCTAGGGAAATCATGTTCCTAAATTTCCTCTGCCTACATCCCAACTTCTCAGTCAAAGAGAACGTGGGATTAAGGGGGAAGTGGGAACTTGATGGAAGCTTGGTTTAACTCCTTATAAAAACAGATCAATGTTAAGTTTTGAAAGTGTGGAAAAATAATCTGAGTTTTTGAGCATAAAGTTTCTAAGTATTTTCAGAGTAGAGTTTCTTCCATCCTTGAGCTTCTTGAGTGCATTAGGAGATTCTTGTAATTGCTTTGTAATTGGGATTGGGGCAGTGAAAGTTGTAAAGTGTGAGGCTTGAGAGAGTTCTTCATACTGTACAAGTGATTCGGAGTAGAATCACAAAGAGTGAGAAACTGTGATTGAGGGATCGCAGTTGGGTAACTTAAGTTCCTTACGGAACTTAGGTCTAGGCAGAATATTAGCGAGTGTAAATCATCTTTACATAGTGAAAGTATTCATTGACCTTCCAACTTTTCCTACGGCAACAATGTTGCCTTTCTTATTATCACCAAAGGTCACAGTTCCTCCTGTATAGGCCGTCAGTGAGAGAAATCTTGATCCATCTCCTGTCATGTGCTTGGAATAACCACTATCGAGGTACCATTGGTTGTTCCCCCTCACTACGACCTGCAAAAGAAACTAAGGGTTAGATTCAGGAACCCCATCTTTCATGGGTTCCTTCGTTGATACAGCAGACTCATTTTTCTTTTGCCATACATAAGCTATATTTTTAGTGGACTTAAGTTCCTTTCTTTTGCATTCAGTATATTTGTGTCCTGACTTGCCACAGAAGGAACACACAGTCTCACTAGGGAGTTCCACGTATTTTTTCTTTTTACCACTATTCTTCTTTTTGTGGTTGAAACCCAAACCCTTTGTCCTTCTGGTTTGAGCTTTGGATATCCACTTTGGAACTCCCATGTGGACTGCACTTTTGTTGTTTCTAGCTCTTTCTAAATCCTTTTCAAGGGACTCATTTTTGTCTTTAGTAACCTGCAATTCTTTTTTCAAATTTTCAAGATCATCATTAAAGGTTACTAAAGGCAATTGAAGAGCACTATTAGAATCAATGTTAGTGCATAGCAATTTATACTGAGTCAATTCAACATTTAACATGATATTTTCATTTTTGACTCTTTCCAGTGTTTCTTTAAGCATAGTGTTTCTATCTAGAAAATCAAAGAATCTTCCCTGAACATCTGTTCTTGAATTATTCAAATATTTCATATGATCCTTATAGATTTCTAGAGCTTTTCATTTTGTCCAAGTTTAAGACATATTTCTTTATATTCATCCAATGTTTCTATGAGCAAAGAAATTAATTTGTCTTTTGACAGGGATTTTAGAAATTTAGGTTTGAGATTAACCTCCTTTGACTTTTTAGTAGATTCACTGTGTTTAGCCATCAAAAACAGGTTTGCAGTCTCTTCTTCCGTGGATTCTTCTTCATCCTCGGAACTTGTGTCTCCCCACGCAGCTATCATGGCTTTCCTGTAATCAGATTTTGAAAAGTTAGGAGTATGAGATTTTCCGTGTTCCTTCATTTTGCCTTTTCCTTTTTCTAATTCCCAGAGAGGGCATTCCTTGATGAAGTGATCTGTGTTCCCACATTTGTGGCATCCTCCTGTTTCCTTGGAATACTGGTTCTTCTTGAAGTTCCTTTTCTTTTGGTCACTAAACCTTTTGTTGCGATACAACTTTTTTAACTTCCTGACTAGCATAGCAGCTTCTTCCTCTCCAGATTCGGAATCCTCTTCACTTGGTTGGGCAACTTTTAAAGCAATTCCTCGGCTTTTTGAGCTTTCTTGACTTTTGTTTGATAGGTGAAGCTCATGAGTTATCAAGGAACCTGCAAGTTGTTCAAGGTTAAAAGTTGTAAAGTCCTTTGATTCCTGCAAAGCAGCCACTTTGGATCTCCACCGTTCATCTTCAGGAAGACTTCTTAGAATTTTGCGTACCTGTTCATCCATAGGAACAAATCTACCAAGAGAAACTAATTCATTAGTAATATTTTTAAAACGAGTAAACATTTCTTGAATAGTTTCTTTTGAACCCATTTCAAAACGTTCATATTTAGAAAGCAGTATATCAATTTTAGAACGTTTGACTTCATGAGTTCCTTCGTGGGTTATTTCTAGTAAATCCCATATTTCTTTTGCTGTTTTACATCCCATAACACGAGTGTGTTCATCTGGCCCTAAACCCCAAACTAGGAGTTTTTTAGCAGTAGCATTAATCTCTTTCTTCTCAAAGTCGCTTCTATCATATTCAGAGATAGGTTT